CCAGAGAAATGAGGCTCAGAGTGAAGAGCCTGAGGCGTGCTATACAGAGAGTACCAGTGAGCAGACTGTGCCCGCATCTCCTTAAAATCCATGTCTGATCTGAGCAGTTCTGTGAGAGAAAGAGCCCCAATTCAGAGGGACATGGGTTTCTAAATAAGATGTGACTAAATAAGGTGGGGATAGGTAGGTGGATGCTGGTGATAGAAGATAAGTAGATGTAGACATATAGATGGATGAGAGATGAGTGATAGACAGGTAAATAGATGATAAATAATAGAATGATAGACAGATGATAGATAATTGGTAGAGGATACCTAGAGATAGATGACAGATTTATGATAGATGATAGATAGGTGATAGATAATAGATTGTAGGTAATTGGTAGGTAGATGATATCTAGAAATAGATGACAGATTTAAGATAGATTTTTTTTTAGCTAGTCCTTCCCTGTTGCTCAGGTTGGCCTCAATACTATACACATAAGCAGTCCTCTTGGGACAGCAGTCCAGGGGACAGGGCCACTCATTCCCCTGAATCTGAGGCACCCACAGGACTCCAGGCCCCAACTTCCAAACGGTTTTAAACTTTACTTTGCATCTTGTTTTAGAAGAGCACTTTCTTGTGTACCTGCTTTCACCTGTTCTCTCCCACACCCTCCTCTCCACAATCTCCCTACCCCGTCTCCCCTTCTCCTCTTCCTCCTCCACGATTCTGCTTTCCGCTTTCGTGCTATGTGTGTCTATTACCTCCCCCAATTCTCTCCATTAAAGCCATTTCCCCCTGTAATGGGCCTCTTTTTGGTTTTCTGGAATCTATCTATACACACTCAATTCCCACATAAGTGCACATATTAAAACTCAGAAGCTGGACCCGTGCAGGAGAGAGAATACACAGCATTTGTCTGTCTGAGGCTCAGTCACTATAATATTTTTCTGTTACCCATTACCCAGCAAGTCTCAGCGTTCCATTTTTCTTCGTGGATGGTTAACACTCTACTGTGCGTTCATATGTCCTTGTTTCCCCTTCCCATTTCCCATTCATTTCCGGATTTCTAGGCTGTTTACATCCCCTGGCTGTTGCAAACAGAGCTGCAATGAGTATGGACGTGGCAGTATCTCTGTGATAGGCTACAGCGTCCTCCTGAGAAGAAGAAAAACTGCTTGCGTATGGAGGTGTTAATGGAAACAAGTCGTGTGGCTTTTCTAAGCTGGAACTGAGTCTCCCCTTGTTTTGTATTGTGATACCACTTGCTCTGGGAGAAGTTGACTAGAAGGAATCAGAGACCCATCATAGCAATCAGCAGCTGCTCAGATGGCTAAGCATAACACACCGTGTGGAGAGGACCAACATGCTCCTCCTGCCTTAGAGAAGCTGGGCTGTAAATCAAGTCACAACCCAAAACAAAAACACACCAGCGGAAAATACTCAGTGATTAAGCAGCCAATGATTAAAGTGAAGGGGTGCATCTAAATGATGATGGCACTTCACGTTTACTACCTTAAATAAGGGCTACCTTAAATATATAGATGCATACACTTACGTTTAGTCTTACCATAACCACCCCGTCTGTAGAGAAACAGCTCGGCTAGTGCTTATGTGGGTGCACCTGGCTGCCATGCTCAGGTGTGAGTGCATGTCAAGGCCAAATGTCAACCCCAGTTGTCACCCACCTTGTTTATCCAGGCAGTATTTCATTAGCTTGGCCTTTGTTGATTCAAGTTGGCCTGCTACCCGGGGAATCCCAGGGATCCACCTGTCTCTGTTTCCCAAGCACCTGTCACTAGCTTTTTGTTTCTAATGTGGGTTCTGGGGGATTCAAACCTAGGTTCCTCAGGCCTCAAGGTAAACATCATACTTTTATACTAGCCCTCCATTTAAAAATGGAGCATGCAAGATGCACTCTTATCAAGAGGTAGGTGTCATCATTTTGTGAATCTCCAAGTTGGGGAGACTGAACTGAGGCATCCCAGAGAGGAAGGAGTATAGTGTTTTAAGACACAGCTGGGCACTAACGGCAGGGTGTTTCCATGAAAACTTGCAGCCAGCTTTATGTTTCTCTATGCTCCTTTTGGCTTTGAGGACAGTATGCTATAGATACTCTGTCATCTCACCCCTGACATACTCCAGGCAAGATGCTATGTAGTCACGGCCCTAACTTCAAGGTACCCAAAATACTAAATGAATGAGTAAGAATGTGAATGAAGGAGTGAAAGCTAGAGATCCCCTTCCTGTTTATCCTTAAGCTTGGGTACACTGGCAACTCTGGTTCTTGTGCATCAATTTTCTTCAAGGCTCAAAGCTGGTTAAGACCTGAGAAGTTGTAAGATGGATTTATTAAGCCTCAAAAAATTTGAAAGACAGGCTTGTTCTTAAGGGAGGGGGGAGGGAATGCCAAGAGTCAAGAGGTAAACAACTCGGGATACTCAAAAAGTCCCTAAAACTGACCAGAAACACAAGCCCCCACCCTCAAAGCTATGAAAACAGGAAGAACTACTAAGCAAAGGCCAGTTAACTACCTAACACAGATGGGTCAGCAAGGCTGTTTAAGGGCAGATAGGCTGAGTTGCCCAAGAGAGACGCTCTGCCCTGTCGAGCTGCCTTTAAGTCATACAGTGAGCTGGAAAATTCCAGCTTCCTGTGCTGGGTACATTTTCTGTGATGCAGAAGCCCTTGAATTATACACACTCCAGTGGTCACCTCCCATCTGGACTCCTGTGAGTAGCTCCCATAAAAAGCAGAGGTTCACCAAGTCAGACTTCGGCGCTCTCCCGTTGGTCTAGCCTGGGCTCCCTACCTAGGATGAGTAGGTGTCTGCTCAGGTCTCTTCAGGAACAGCGTCTCACAACACTGGCATTCTCTTAGTTTCAGAATCTGTGTTTCCAGGCTCATCTTCAAGCATTTAAGCTATTTTTTTGCTCTCTCTTATCCAATATCTGGAACTTAATTTCCCCAGCCTGCACGTTGGCTGAACATGCCCAGTTGTCTTTCATTGCCTCCCAACAGCAGAAATTACAAGGAAAAACAACAAAAACCAAAACCCCACAAATCAAAGAAGTCGCTTTTGCTGATGATTTATTGCTTTAACAAGAAAAGCTGTAAACAAAGAATTTGAACAATGAAAACCCATCTCGGGCGAACAAACACTTTCCCTACTACACAAATCATGAGAAAAATGAGGAATGTGGTAGAACGTGACAGGCTGCCCAAGGGCTATTTTTCCTCTGTTGGGAAATCCGAAGACATTCCTTTATGTGTATTCACTTACAAAATGGCAGTATGAATATTTAAATACTCAATCACAGTTTGAAAATACACACACACACACACACACACACACACACACACACACACACCTCTATGCAGGAACACACAGCTAACCATGGCCATTTCTGCTTCCCAGCCATTTAGACCTGTCACCTTGGCTCCTTTGAATCAAAAACAAGTCTCTAAAAAGAAATGACAGGAGTCAACACTATAGTCAGCGGTTCCAATGCTGTCTGCATTCTCCAAGCAAGCAAAGTACAAAGTTAATTAGGGTAATTACAGGCAATCATATCATTTGCAATCACTTTCTTTGACCAGTCTCTAATCACCCTCAAAATCAGGTTTTTTTTTTTTTTGCACCGGGGTCTGTGAGTCACCATTTGTGGCTCTGGATTGGCTGAGGACAGGCAAGGTGTCTGAATGACCTGAGAGATTGGCATGGGGAGTCACATGACATGAGCCTGGGTTTCAGAGCTTGTCTGCTATGCCCTGTTTGGTAAGGACTTGAGCAAATCCCTTAACTCCTGCAGGCCTTGCTCTGTCAGCCCAGAAGTGGACACTGTGCTTAGCTTATGTGAGACTCCAGCAACAGTCACTTAGGCTCTGTCTAGGTCTCCTCTGGTGGTAGAGTGGAGTAAGCACAGATCTGGTCCCCTGTTCCCCAGTCCCTTGGAGCTTCAGAGTTTCTATTTATCAAACGGAGAGAGGTTGTGTACTGAGCACAGCTCTGCTAGTTGATAACCTGAAAAAATGCACTGTGGTGCTTAGCACCAGATAAGTCACCGATAAGTGGACTTTTGCTTTGTTTTCTTAACTGTAGTTGCTATCCTTAACTTTCCTTGAACCAGGCCACACCACTACAGGCTGTTTTTGACTACTGGAAAGAACTTCTTTTTATATGGATCCTTGTAGTCTCCCCTGGAACTTCAGTTCAGGGTTCTTCAGATCCTGATGAAGGCCAGGTCCATTTCTCAAGACCACTGACAGCTGAGCTTCTTTGGCCCACCCCTCCTTCCTATTCCCACTATCACGCCAACTCCTCTACCTGAGCCTCCTTTGGTCAAACTTGCTTCTTTCTGTTCTCCCAAATAAGGATGGATACTTGGTGAAATCCTAGCTTCCATGGAAATTATTTCAGAGTTAGACGTTAAGACGGGGTTTTCCAATCAAAGAAAATCTAGCATGATCCACAAAAAAAAAAAAAACCTTAACACAAGTCATAATCCCCAGGGGTAACATATCTTTACACGCAAGCTCTTGTACACATATGACATACATTTATTCAAAGCACTAAGCCCCCTTTAATAGAGGATTTTCACTGGCAGGACGAGATCTTAGAAGAAGAGTGCTTCTAAGGAAAAGTAGGAGTGTATTTATAATGTGTTTTCCACCTTAAGTACATCTTGAGCACCGCTGTTCATCTTGCACAAGGCCAGGCCTTTGGGAGCTTACAGGAAGGAGGGGAAATCCTGAGTCCCCTTTCCTACTTAAGAGTCCATTTGTGTGCTGTGCATAGTTTTCTCACAGGCATCTTTCCACCACCACACATGTGGCGCTGGACAAACAGAATCCCCTTAGAAATTCACGTCGTTAGCTGACTCTGATTTCAAGGCAGGAGGAGCCACAGGGAATCCGCATGCCTTTTCCTGTTCCATTTAGTTTGGATGCTTAATACTTACACACACACACACACACACACACACACACACACGCACGCACGCACGCACGCACGCACACATGCACCACTAGCAGGAAAGGAACCAGAGAGACAATATTAAGAGGCCAAACAGAGAAGGACAAGTTGCCCGTTTCAGTTTACTCTCCTACCCTGACATGTTTGGAAGATCCAGTAGCAGAGAGGCAATATAGATTATGAAGTTAATCTATCTGGGATATGAATATCCAGATGGGTGACTTTGGTTGAGTTTCTTCTTTGGGCTTCCATTTCACAGTTTTAAGGACAGAAATGATGGTGGGGGCTCCTCTATGTTGTCACAAAGCTTCAGTGAACAAAATATGTGGGCAAATACTGAGAACAAAGGATAGCACATACCCAATAAAAGAATGATGACAGAAAACCTTACATTCTACTGCTAAACAACTGCCTCACTGTCACCTAGGAGAAATCTTTTTCTGCAACTTATAAACTCTTTGGTTTTTACCCCTGTTAAATAGATTTCTGCTGGTCAACGTCTACCTTCAGACTAGAGAGCTGAGCTGTTTTGCTCCACAGCGACTAAAGCTGTGAAATAGGTCACTAAAGAAAAGACATGCATCCTGAGCCCAGGGACTATTGTGACCTCACCACTCATACCAGAGGCCACCCAGGCCCACGAAGGGTGACCAACTTATTCGTTTGACACATACATCCTGCTAGGTCTTGTCTGGACTTCAAAGGAATCTTCCAAGGCTCATGAGGACATCTTCTCACCATCCCACGATTCCGGGGTGCTGTTGAGACAACAGACAGACAGGACACCCCAAGGTCCCTACCAATTCCCAGGAGCCCCAGTGCAAGAGAGGTCCAGATGTTAGGAAGACTTGGCTAATTGTCCTAAGAATTTGGTATGCAACGGATTCAATGACCTGATCAATTGTGGCCTGTGAGACTGGCTGGCCTTGCCCCATCTCTATAGGATGGATTGGGAGTTATCGTCACAAGCAAAAATAAGATTTCTCAGATATTATTTCCAATCAACATGAACACAATTTGAAGCCTTTACACTACAGGAAGAAGAGAAATATATCCTCAGTTATTCCCAGATTAATGGAAATGACCTTCTGTTGAGAGGAAAAATGGCACAACCATTCACCTCACCTGGAAAATGTTCGGAGACCTCGTGGTACAAAGATCTTTGGAACAAGAGCACTTTTGGTGTGTTGTGGGCATACATGCCCATGATAGTATTATTTAGCAAGGCCCAAAGAATAGCTTATTCCTGTGTTCCCAGTCCCATCCATCTGTCTGAGAGGACCCCAGCATCATCACGTTTGGCATCTGAAGAAGGAGTCTGTGATACTGGCTTTCCAATGGATTCCGTTCCTTGCGCAGCCCCATCAGGATTTCTGACAACTTGAGCAGGCTAAAGTCAAACAGGCTGAGTCAGGCTTGGGATTCATCTTGAACTGTCTGAGATGTGTTTTCTTTGGAGTGATATAGGATATTCCCAAGGAAGGATGCCTTTTCTGAGCCTGAGCAGCATTCTTCTGGCCCATTGGGATGGTCGAAATAGGAGCACAGACTAAGAGTCAGGATCAGGACATTCAGAATGCAGTGGAAAGGGGATGAAGTAAGGCTCATCTGTGAAGTCCTGGGCCACAGAGGGCCGGCTGCTCTGCAAACATGGAGCTTTACCCCAAGTCATATGCCTACCTAATTGGCAATCTCTGAGAAGTCAGGGTAAGATTGTAAGTCAGCAAAGATATCGTTTGGATTCCTACAGCTCAGGTTGCAGAAGCAAGCATTGATCCATAGCACCTGACGGGAGAAACCCGGCCCCTCTGGACACTGGAAAGTGACACTGATAGTCTTGGACTTGTAAGGGATACAGCACCTGTTGTCAGCGCAGACTCCACAGTACTTGGGCCGGTAGGTGCGTGTGCTGACACAACCCGCAAGAGTAAAGTTCACGGGCCCCTCCGGCTGGAACACAGCCAGACACTTCTTCCCGGCCTTTGGGAAAGGAAAAGGATCTTCTGTTAGTATGCTCTGGTGATGCACAGCCACCTTGCTCCCTCTGAGCACCCTGTCTCCCTTTCCCATCACTGCGCATGGCAAGCATCACCTTTGCTCCAGATTCACAGCACCCTTGAGCAAGGAAGGACCTCGGCAAACACAGCGAGGCCTAGCCACACGGCAGAGGTAAACTGAGGACTGCAGAAGGGGGTTTCCATGCTGCGCTCAGATCTCACAGCCTGCAAGCTCTCTCCTGAAGTTTTGCCTTTTTGATGTCCACATGTCAGGGTTGCCATCACAGGAAGGCTTGCTATCTTTTAGCTAATCAAGCTTTCTAGTAGCAAGTGGCTTAGCTGGCAAGGAAGGCCACCATCGCCTGTCCCCTCTAATCCAAATCCAATGGCTCTCTCTCTCTCTCTCTCACCACACACACACTATTATCATGCAGCATTTTCAACAGCACTGACATTACTTAAATACAAGTAGAGCCTTCCAGGAGGCTGTGGGCTCCTTCACACCCGGGCCTCTTTCTGTATCTCTCTAATATAAGTGAGTGATATAGGATACTCCCAAGGAAGGATGCCTTTTCTGAGCCTGAGCAGCATTCTCCTGGCCCATTGGGATGGTCGAAATAGGAGCACAGACTGAGAGTCAGGATCAGGAAATTCAGAATTGAGTTTGTGAAGCTAGTACACGGTAGGTACTTACTAAATGCCATGAGCTAGTATTTCTTCGGGTATATTATCAGCACCACATCAGAGCTGGGGACAGAGCACATCCAATGTGGATGGGGCATGTAGCTTTTCCAGTTGGGGTAAGCCAGCTAGGGGTAGATGATCATGGGGATAGGAGAGGAATCACAAGCCTCCTGTGAAGCGCCCAGCCTTGTGACAAATTATCTTAGCCCAGATTATGGCCCTATTTCTTTCACATTTTGCTTCTATTTCCAATCGGAAGGCACACATGAGGGCCCCGTGGCGCCTAGGGTTGGCACAGCAGAGGGAGAAGAGAAGGGAGAAAACTGTTTGTCCACCAAAGACGAGGTGCTAAATCACTTACCCCAGACCTGCAGGACAACCTTCGTTATTTCCATCTTATGAATGACTCCCGAGAAGTTCAGTGACCGGGCTCGAAGCCAGCTATAGCTATGGATGCTCATCATGCCTATTCCTGCCCAGGATGCCTATCCTTGCTTTGGACTTACCTTGATGTGCGAGTGGATGTCCACATCACATGGCCGCAGGTTACAGAGGCGACTTTCCTGCTCTGGCCAGCACCGGGCGTTGACATTAGAGATCCGAGTTGAGATTCCGAGGCCACAGGTGGTTGAGCAAGGACTCCAGGGGCTAGTGTAGGCTAAGCAGTTCCCATGCCATTGTTCCACTGTGCCCGAAGCTGCTGAAGAGGGACACCAGGGAATCCATGAGTCTGAAGCCTCCACGGGCTCCACCAGTCCCTGCCCCAAAGTTTAGGCTTCTTGAGCCTCAGAAAGAGGCAGAGGCAAACAGATGATATGAAACTAGAGGCAAAGACACAGAAACAGACAGACAGACAGACAGACAGACTTGGGCTGTTCCTCCCCACAGGGAGAAGGAAAAGGTGCTTTCTAATTGGCAGGGAGGGGAGATTATATCCTTACCCTTTTTTTCCTGACCAGGAGATGAAGTATGAAATCATGGAAGGAAACCATCTTTAGAGCCGGGAGTTCCCTACATCAAATTCTCTTCTGTGATGGTCACTACTGACTGTCAACCCGACAGGAGCTAGACTCACCGAGGAGACAGACCTCTGAGCGTGTCTGTCAAGGGCTTTCTAGACTGGGTTAAGTTCAGTGAGAAGGTCTACCTTAACTACGGGAATGGGCTGGGCTCCCAGACCAAATGGAAAGGAGAAAATGAGGTGAGCGCCAACTTTCATCACTCTCTGCTTCCAGACTGGATGCCACGTGACCAGCCGCCACCCCGTTCTCCTGTTGCCTTTTGTCCTCTTGTTTTTATTAAAGTGAGATTCATCTTTGCATTTATTTTTATTTGTGAGTGTCTGTGTATGTGATGGGACTCCCTGGTTTAGTGAGCCCTAGTAGAAAACAGTGGGCATAGATACCCGACTACAGTCCCATTGGACTGCCCATCTGCTCTGGACTGGTCCTGTGAACATTCAGTTCCCTAGCATCTGATGGCTACCTGCTTAGCCAGGGGTGAGCAGGAGAGAGTGGTGAGCTGTGCAGGGAGCCAGGCAGATGGCAGGCAAGACAACAGCCTGCAGAACGATGGGACAGACCCACGGAGAAAACCCACAGGGACAGGAAATCGGAGGAAAGGAGAGAGACGGCCGGAGGAAGGGAGGGGAGAGAACAAGAGAGACAAGGAAATCAAGGAATCGGGGGGTGGGGGGAAAGCACACCAAACAGATGAGGGATCTACTTAGGGCAACATAGAACCCGTCACTCAGTCCCTGGAGCTGGCAGCAAACGTTACTGCTGAATGAATTTGACACAGAGAAGGCAGGCAGAGACAGAGGGATCCCAGAGGCAGGCAGTCTGGGATGAGCTGGCTGGGAGCGTGAGGCAAGCTACAGGGGAGGGAGGGATTTGCCAGGGAGGATGAGAGGGTAGAAGGGCTTTGGTTTCTGGGCCTCCTCCATACCGCCGCAGGGCCTCTGTCTGGGATGGCTAAGAACTGGGTCACTGGGTCACACACAATGAGCAGGCAGCCTCTGCCTCCCCTCCACCACCCAAGGACTCTTGAGCAGATGTGCTGGAGGGAGGTTTAGTGGGAGGCGCTGCCACGCTGTCCTGAGCTACCGGGGACCAAGCCTCCGCTGCCACTGGCTCTCATCCATGCCACACCGTCTCTCCACATGGGTGACTTTGCCCCTCCCTCCCCCCCCTGCCCTGGTTCAAATGCCTAATTATGCATTTAGCCACCATCATCTGACTGGACGCCATCTATGTGTCCTTTATCAACCCACCTACCATCCATCCATCCATCCGTCTAACCATTCATCATCCACCTATACATCCATCCATCCATTATATTCATTCCATTAACTATATCTATCTGTCTGTCTGTCTATCAATCATCTTAAACTATACATCCATTTTCCATCCATTCTGTAACCATCTATTCTCCATGCATGGATCCAGGTTTCCACTGACTTAGCCATCCATTCATTCATCATCCATCTGACCATTCATCCATCTCTCCATCCATCCATCCATCCATCCATCCATCCATCTACTCATCCACTTCACTTCCATTCACCAACCATTTCTTCTCTGTGTATCTATCCAAATACATATGTCTTGATGATGCAGCACACACACACACACACACACACACACACACACACACACACACACTCCCGTTTATCATCTATCATATCTATTCACTAGTCTTTTCAGCCACCTATAACCAAAAACCTACACAGCTACCACTGCAGACATGGGTTGGGTACTTTCCAGGTATCTGGCAAGTGCACTGAGCTCCATAGGCAATGGTGAAAACAATCGTGTCCCTGTCCCCTCTCCTACAGCTTCCTCTTCACAGGCTTACCTAGGCAAAGCCTCATCTTTTCTCCTGACGATAGCAATGGAACCCCCTGAGTTGTCTGGGAAGTCCATCCTATACCCTAACTCTCTGAGATACTTTAGTAAGATGATAGAGGACCATACATGTCACACCAGGCTTTTATCCTGGGAACAGCCCATAAAGTAGGCAGCAAAGATGATATCATTCGCCTTTTACAGATGGGGAATTTGGGTTCCAGACAGCACACCTCCAAGGCTGTGAGCTGTGGAGTGGGTAGTGGCCTGGGGGCTTGACTTATTAGAAGAAAATCAGAGGTCTAGGGGCTCTGTGGCATCCCGAGCCTCCACTTGTCCCTGGCCACACTTACCAAAGGCTCTGGTGTCCAGCAGCGCAGTCTGGCGTGGCCGTCTAGAGTCATCGTCACACACCCAGTGCTCACAGCACTGGCCGGGAACCCTCACATGCCGGGGCTGTCGGCACCAGAGGCGCGGGGGCCTGGGGCTCAAGCACAGTGGCGTGCAGCCCACCGTGCCGTCGATGCACGTGCAGTTGTACCTGCAGTTGGGCTGGAAGGACTCGCCATTGGTGTAGCGCACGCCATCCAGGACGCAGCCCACACCGACCACCTCTGCAAAACACAGGTGGTAGACACGTCACGTCCGAAGGTGTGGGCCAAGATACTCCCTCGCTGTTCTCCCTCTGTGTAAGATGTCAGGCCAAGACGTCACTCGTGTGAGGACGGAGGAGATGTCCCATATATCAGTTGGCTGCACACCAAGGGCAAGCAGTGGGCCGTGTGAAGAGGGACACAGCAGAGAAAGGGTGAAGGCCTTCCATGACATCAGGGACAGCCGGGGAGGGGGGGCTCTGCTGGATACCGGATGTGAGGGTCCAGCACCCTAGTGCAGGAGCACAGGCATTTTTAGTCTCTATACTGTCCCCAGCACCCAGCCTGGTACGAATGAATGCCTGCCCAAGGGAGAAAGGCGTACCCAGGACACCAGAACCTGGGAATGAAAAAGTTGTCTTCCTCAGTACTGACTGTGGAGTCTGGCAGGAGCTGAGGACCCAATGCTGGACAGAGTGACAACGGTCTGGTCCTTGAAGATCTCACTACAAGGTAGAAAGACGGTCCAATGGTCATCTGGAGCGTCTGTTGGTGATGACAGCTCACTCAGGTAAGTGTTGGGGGGCGATGGAAGAGTGAGTGGGTGTGGGATGTGGGCAGGGCTGTAGGCTGAGAAAGAGTGGACCTGCAAGGCCCATGGATGCAAGAGGGCTTTCTGCCTGCCTTCCACAAAGACTAGAACAAGACAGCATGGATAATGTCTTCCGGGTAGGGAGGACATCTGCTGTAGGTGTGTAAGGACCCGATGAAGGAGCAGTAGGCCTGTGGGGGGGGGGAGGGAAGCAGGGAGAGAGAAAGCTAAGGGGGGTGTGGAGAGGCAGTGAGGCCAGATACATCTTCCTCCTGTCTCAATGGGAGATCTACAACTGTTAGTGTCTAGCACTCTTCCTGGCGAACAGTAGGCATTCAATGAGTAGCTTATGAATGAGATGGATTATATACTTCACACATACACAAAAATCTTGTACTACTGAGTGGACAATAGGCTGGAGAGGGCCACAAGATGGGATGGCACTGGGGTAGCACCCCAGCGACCCAAGCAGAGGTTGGTGGCTTCCCAGACCAAAGCAATGAGAAAGTTAAGCTTCCAGACACATTTTCAAGGAGAGTCGCAAAGACTCCCAGGAGGCAAGGAAGACTCCCAGCGCTCTGTACTCAGGTCCAGAAAGCAAGATCTTCCTTCCTCTCTGGAGGAGCTGGGAAGGGGCAGGCTAGCTCCAAGTCTTTGTTAGACATGAGATATACCTGGTGGACTTGGTTATGGAAGTTTGCCTGTGGGCTTAGGGGACTGCTAGGCAAGAGTCTACCCTTGGTGCTATGTGCTCCCTGGGGACAGCATCTGGAACTATATGAAGAGGGTCCTAGGACAGCAATGATGCCCACAGAGGAGAGGCAGTTAGGAGTGTGCAGCAGCTCTGTCCTGTCTCCTGCATTGGTGGGGGTGGTGGCTGGCCATAAGCATCAGAACATGTGTCAGGTGCACATGCTGTCAGAACCAGGGACTCTGCTGTGTGTTCCATGGCATAATTTGTTTTGTAAGGAAACACATTGTCCCTTCCATTGTATATACAGCAAAACAGTCTCAGCAAGGTGTCATCAGAGTGCAAGCTGACCAATGAGCTGTGGGCTCGGGGCGTGTGCATCTTATCGTTGCTATCATTTTCTGGATATCCAGGAAGCAGGTGCTGGCATGTATGGACACCGGCTTCTGGCCCATGATCTCACTCAGGTCTCCCAGTGATGGCTCCTTCAGGAGAGCTTTGTCTACTTCATCAGAGATGGGAGAGGTCTGGGACAGGGAGGGATTTGTGAGCTCAGATAACATGAGTTGATGGAGAGAAGGAGAGAGTGACAGAGAAGAGACACTAAACCCACTGTCCCCTTCCTTCTACCTGACACCAGGAAGGAAGGACATGAGGGGAGAGGAAAGAGGAAGTTCAGGAAGAGGAGGAGGAAGCAGGATGCAAAGGGGCCCGTGAGCCTCAGTCACCATGCCTCTCCCTCAAACCCCAGGAAGATGTGTGTGTGTGTGTGTGTGTGTGTGTGTGTGTGTGTGAGTGTGCACATGTGTGCACACATGAATGTACATCTTTGTACATACTAGTTTATATATGTATTTGTTTACATGTGTGTGATGTGTGCATGAGCGTGTGAGTCTGGTGTGTGTGTGTGTGTGTTTGTGTGTGTGTGTGTGTGTTGGTGGAGAGGAGACTGAAGCTTCTGCTCTGCTCCCATGGGTAAAGATGTCAGTTCAGGGCTGTGGTGTCCTTGGCAAAGCCATCCTTCTATCAGCTCAAAGGAACTCACAGAAAAACCTTTGAAGATGCTGGTACCCAGGCTACAAACATGAGACAGCCCTAGATGCTGCGGTGTTGCTCTCCTCAGGCTTGGTATTCTTTAAGGCCTTCCTGGAGTGTCCAGTGCGCAGCAAAAGCGCTACCTCTGTAGATCGGCTAATAGGGACCCATGGGCCGTTGATGAGCCTACCCCACATAGATCAAGGGAGATCAGGGTAGGTGAGGATGGTGCATCAGCAGAGGTCAGACCCCTCTCTGGACACAGACAACCTGTCTACCTTTCCGGGGGACTGGTTTGGGGTGAGGGGGAACAGCCAGCTTTGCTCTGACCTCACTTGAAAGTTCAGGAGAGGCATGGGCAGCCTTCTTACAGTTAGAAGACTTGCAGCAGAAAAGCCGCCATGCTTCTTTACTGTGACCTTCAAGCCCGCATCATCTGTGGCCTTGCTGGAGTAGGAACAAGGCTTGGGTCCTGTCACATGTCCCACGGGCCGATGGGTGGACAGAGGCACACATGTGTCACGGCCCCTGACCTCCACTAGGTCCCTACTGTATCTAAGCATGTGACAGCCTGACTTCCCACAGAGGTTCTCACTCTTCATCACAATGTTCTTATCAAGGACAGTGGCGTTTAAGAGGTCCGGGAGCTAGTCTACCAGCCCAGGAATACTTGGGAGTAGCGATGGAACTCCAGCTCTGCTTGTCTAGCCTCAAGCGCCATGCTGAGTTTTCCATTCCCTCCATTAGCCATGTGAGTCTGGGTGCTCCTGGAATGCTTCCCTTTACCAGGGATAATAGTGGACAGGGCTGAGATGACTTTTCAGAGAGCAAGCAAAACCCACAGTCGCCACCCTCCTGCCCTCCCCTCCCTGCACAAGGTGGATTTAACGAAGATACTCAGGTGTGTGGCCCAAGGTGGGGGCAGCAAGGGGCAGAGAACAGGGACTGAAAGGCCAAGCCCATCTCCTGTAAACACCATGTTCCTTTTGCCCCGGCGCCTCTTCCAGCTGCATCGGGGCGGTGTTTGGACAACCTAAATAGTGGAACCTGACGCAGAGGACACCGTGCCCATTGCCGTGTTTAGGTTGGCCTGGACACACTTTTAAAAGTTTCTTTGAACATAGTTCTAGTGTTGACCCATCACACACACACACACACACACACACACACGCCTAGATTCCTCTTGACAGCTGAGCGTGGTGCAGGCAATACTAGACTCTCTGTTCCGCCTGGCCCCAGTGGCCCAGGACGGTGACCACTGACAGCCAAAGCTGGCATTTACTGGCATGCTGGCATCTCTTCTGAGCTCCCTGGGTCTGATTTACACTTGCCTCGTCTTGACCTAATTCTCTGCAAATCTCCAGACAGGTTTATCCACACCTGGGGGTCACCCGCGAGCTAAGCTGACCATGTGCCAACCGTCTGTCTGAGTGCTCTCTCTTCTCATTGCCTGTCGGGACCTGTCTCGGTTCTTGTTTTGGGCCCTCATGGTTTCTGACATTATGTCACATTTCTGGGGAAGTAATTGGGGGACACCAGCGAACTGTGTATATGCGTGCACGTGTTTACATGTAAGTGAGCGTGTGTACGTGCATGCACCTACATGCGTGTTTTCGGGGATGCACCAGATGTGTGTCTGTGTGAGCGCTTGTGGCAAGGCTCATGGGTAAGAATGTACCTGAACAAAAGAGTTAAGTGTTGGAGATGGAAAGGTCAGAGCTCTGTGGAGGCTCCTTTACACACTTAACAACGGGCTGGGACATTTCATCTCAAGTCCCCGTACCTCCTGGTTAACTGTGTTTATTTCAATGTCTGCAAATCCACATACATTGCCAGGGAAGTCACAGGAAATGAAAAAGTGTATTGAATCCTACCTTAGGTCGGGCGATTATTTATCTTTCCCAAACAAATGGAAAGGATCAAGGTTCCTGGTGGCAGGGAGCTAAGGGACTGTGAGGTTTGGTCAGGGTGGGGTAGTAAGATGGGGAAGACAATCTCTGGGTCCCTGAGACAATGTTTATAAGGGGGCAAGGCCTGTCCTGCAAGATCCCATTATGGGTTTGGAGATTAGTGCAATCACAGCAAACTTCCAAAATAGCTGTTAGTCAGGAGAGGAAATATTAGCTGGTCCCATATGCCTGGCCTCATGGGTGATTCTAGCACAGGGAAGCTGGCCTAGTCTCTCTGGATTATGGGAAAAGGTAGATGACTATTTATAATGTCAGTCTTGAGCACCAGCAAGCAGAGGTCACCGGTGACTCAAGGGTTTATTTAAACAGGCCTGGGCTGATGCTCAGGAAACAAATTTTTTAATTGGTGCATTGTGTAATTATGTGCAAGTTATGGTGCCAGTCTTTGAGCATGTTTTGTGACATTAACAACAAATTCCAGCAAGAGGAGAAAAACAGGAAAGTTGGGGGAAGCAGGGGCATTTATTTGATAAGCCAGAGACATTAATGTAAACAAATGAAACAAACAAACAAAGACAAAGAAAATAGCCACTGGACAGGAGGCGCGGACAGGGTTTACTGACTTGTGTACACACTCCCTTATCAACAACCTGCAGGGGAATCTGAGGTGTTGGGTGGGACCAGGGACTGTAGTGTATATGAGCCGGTAGTGGACTAACAGTTATGGAGGAGCCTTGATTTAGTGTTAATGGGAGAAGAGTTTCTGTATCTATAAGATGTTGAGGAATGTTTCTTGTGTGTCGGGCTATCGTTCATCATCATGTTGGCTCATGTCATTTCACAAGCAATGCTCAGAGATTTCTGACTAAGGACACAGGCGTCCAGAGAGAGGCACAGAGTCCAGAAACATGATCTCCAGGGACCGTGGTGAGGACAGGGGACAGGAGTTGGAGCACATGGGGGATAAATACCAGTCTTTCTCCAGACACAAGGAAACCATGCACACCAAAATCAAAGAAAAAATCAAAGAAAAACAAAGTCATTTAGAAACCCCAGAAAGAGCAGAAGGCACCGTGGAAAGGGAGAATTCAAACATATATACTTCTTAGGTTCCCGTGTACACAGTCAGAACATACATAAATAATAGTCATTATTATGTAGTCGAAAATCAGAACAAGGACATTTGGAAGATGACAAAGGTATCTCCCAGTGCGGGGGAAGCTAGGCCAACAACTACCATGTAGGGGAATTAATAAATGATCCAAAATCAGTGTAGCAAACCAATCAAGATCTAGCAGAAGACATTGCTGTAGAGGTAACTATAAAAATAGAGGGCTAGCAGCTAAAGGTAATGGTGGCAACTGGTGACTTCAGTTTTCATTATTTCACGGTCACTGGCTTGTCTTAAGCATATTATTAAACATTTTAATTTAAAGGGTCATTAAAATATCTCAAGTATGGCAGTGATTCGGTGTTAAAAGGCCGTTGGGCATCTGTTGAAGAGTTGTATCTACCGAGAGAAGGGAACCAGGGTTGAGTATTTCTTGGCGGAATTTCCTTCCTCGGGGGAGAGGGGGAGGTCTCTTGTAGGGAAGAAAGCAAGACACAATGAGATCTTAGGAATAAGAATAATGCCGTTATTGCTCTCTCCCCAGGATGACCTCATCCTGTGGCTTCTAACTGGACTGGTCTGGCGTATGCTTCCTACCAAGCTCAGCCTGGCCAGATGAAGGGCTGTGGGTGTCCGTGGGCTGGAGCTGCGGTGCGGGGGCAGTTGGAAGATACGGAGGGTCTCACTTACGTGCACACACTCCTATTGCGTACCTCGGCCGGTCACCACTGTAATCGCAGTAGAGGCCCCGGTGTGGGTCACAGATGGCAGCCTCTGTACAGTTGTCCCCGAGCTGCTGGGCACATATCTTACAGCACTCACAGCCATCTGTGATAAGGCTCACGCCCAGTGGGCAGTGAGGTGGGGACTGCGGGCATTCACATGGCCACTTGCAGAATTCAGGGCGTGCAGTTGTGTCCTCCGGTGGCACTGGAGTGAAAGTCATGGTTGCGGGGGTTGGTGAGACGGCCTGCGGAGGAAGGGAGAGATGGGAAGGGGTTGTTGAGTCCATGGTTTCCAAGCCTGAATGGCTGCGATTGTCTTTCCATGTTCATTGCGTTTAGAATGGTTCTTCCTTACGATCAAAGTTCAGAGGAGTCAAAACAGTTCCCAGCCTGTGAAGTTCTGGAGCCTGGCACCCACCTTAGCCCACCTTGGCTTCCTTCTTTCCTTGGCATCTCAATAGCCCAGCAGTGTGTGTGGCACTGAGCTCCGGGACAGGGAGCCCAGGATGTGGGCAGTGCTGACAGGCTGATAAGTTTCGCTGCTGGAGAGTTGCTCACAACCCACAAGTATTGCTCCCTTCTGCAGCTCCAAGCTCTTACTCTGCTGAGCTGTCTGTGCCTGGTAGAGTCGGATGGTATGTGTGTGTGTGTGTGTGTGTGTGTGTGTGTGTGTGTGTGTGAGCACATGTGTGCATGCATGGATGCATGGATATGTGTATGCCTTTGCATGTGTGTGCATCTGTGTTGATGTGTGAGTGTGTGGGTGTGTATGTTTGGGTGTGTGTAGTCCAGAGGACATTCTCAGCTGCTTGCCTAAGGCGCTGCACACCTTGTTTTTTGAGTAAGGGTCTCTCACTGGCCTGGAACTTGCTGCGTCCAAGCACAAGACCTTTCCGATGCTTGCAATCTCTGTAATCCAGTCTCCTGCCCACCCAGACCCCATCTGGGTTTCTTGCTCTGCACTAGAGGAGACTGGGACACCTGCACCCTGTAGTTATTTCTGGCCTGTTCCAGCCATTCGACAAATGTTTGCTGAGTTTGCGTGTAGCCCTCTCCATGTTTTAGACACTTAAAGGTAACATTTAGTAGGTGCTGTACTTGAAACTCATGCAACACAAACAAGCTTTGGGGGTTACACACCATAGGATAAGACGGTGGTTGCTGTGGAAAGGGCAGAGAGGAGCTCTGGAACTTGGGACAGGAATCGCTCTCACTTAAGGGGACCAGAGATGAACTACTGCGTCAGTCTGACCTGCGGGGTCTGGACCTGAAACATGACAGGTGCACAGATACTGATGCAAAGAAAAGAAGGCACTGAAGGCCAGCAAGGTGACCCTAGTGGGCCTGTGTCACCTGTAGCCTCCATTCAAAGCCAAGCCACATCACTTCCAGGCTTAAGTCAGGGCCCAGTCTAGAGCATCCTTTCCCTGCCTCAGGACGCCCTCGGCGTCCTTCCCTCGGGCTGCTCTCTATGACCCACTGTGACACTCGGAACCCTCAGTCACGAGGTGCTTGCAGTGTGCATGGAGCGACTGACTGACTGCCTTGTTGGGGACAGAGACAGCGCCTTCCCCGTTAGGTCTTTGTCTCTCTGCTTGAGTGTAATGCAGTGTTCGCAGTGAGGCTCTCCGGGTATTGAGTGGGGGGTGGGGTGGCCGCGGAGTTCTGGTGTACACCATCAGACCCCCGCCCCAGTCTATCTCAAGTAAGCAATCTCGGGGGGGAAGCCTTCATTCTAGGTACGTGCCTAGACCTCCCAGGCATCTGGGTAGGGGGGTTTAGAAGGCCTTCTCAGACTTAACAGAGGCACTGGGCAGTGTCTGGCTAAGCAAAACTTACTTTGGACCAAGTCTTGGCCGTTGGTGCCATCTAGTGGTGACAACACTCCCGGCTACCCCAAGCAAGAAGCGCAATGCCATCCCTCTGCACCCCAGGTTACTCCAGGATTATCTGAGGTGTAGGGCTACGAGCCAGAACTTAGTTCAGATTTCCACTGATCGACCCTCTGCTGCACACAGGAATGCACAGATGACTGGCACTGGCAGGGGACTTCTGCCTTGAAGATAGGCAGTTCAGACGGCGGAAAAGCACACTGGCTAATGAATCCTCCGATTCTTACCGAACACCTACTGTGTGCCAGGCCCTGCCCTGTGATGGGCTTGGAGGAAGCAGCATTGCATAGTCCCTCCCCTCACTAACACACGCCCAGTGGTGATGTGTACATGATAATTGCAGCAAGGTGATGAACGCTTCCGTGACATCATTCACTCAACTCCTTTCATTTGTTGACTCGGCACAACTTTAGCTTTCACAGTGTGCTGGGCGCCAGGCTGGGTGCTGAAGTAGGAGAAATGAACAGGCATCCCTGACTCCAGGAGGGTGTGCATCTGTACCTGTATCCCATGCGTGTTCAGGTCCCCATGGATGTCAGAAGAGGGCACCAGATCCCCTGGAGCTAGACTTGTAGTGGTTTGTGAGCCGGTGGACATGGATTCTAGGAACCAAACTCCAGTCCTCTGGAAGAGGGGCAGGTGCTCATAACCGCAGAGCCAGCTCACCAGCCCCTCCCCTGACACTTAAGCAATGGACTCATCTGTCCTTGCAGGTGAGTGAGGAAACCAGGAGGACTGTGCTACAGGGGCCTTTGTTGGCCAAAGAGATCAGGACTTAGTGAGTCTTGCACTCAGAATACAACCAACAAGGCTATCACCATCAGGTGGAGGCAACAGCTGTGCAGGCAAGCTCAACAGCTTGCAACGCTTAGCCTCCAATGGTCGGGGAAGTGAGAGCCCTGGGTGAGGTGGGGGGGATGGGGAGAGTCTCCTGGTGCCCGGAAGGGAAGAGAATCCCTTTGGGCTCTTTAAGGTGCCACAGGATCTCCAGAGACACCCTCCTTCTGGGATACACTGCCCCAGATCCGTAAGACCTTGTTCCTGAACTTTTACTTCCCTTGGGATCCTGTCTCTGCTTTTCTGAGCATGATCCCTGCCCCCTCCCCAGAGAGCCCTGGCTGTCATCCTCTTGCACACGAAAGGGTCAACATGCCTATGCTGAAAGTAGATGCATCTGTGCAGACACAATGCCCTAGGACCCTGTGCTACTCTTGAGGAAGAAAGAGGAAAAGAATCATCAAGTAAGGAGAATGCTGGCTAAGAAGGGCAGAGACATGAAACAAAAATAAAAAGGCCCGGTCTCTCCAAATTGAAGTTGCTCACATAAAACTGCTTTTACAATGTGCTTCTGGCACCAGAGCCTGCAGATGCTACTGTGTTAATGGGAAGACAAGGAAAAAGTGGCATGCCCAAGATGCCTCCCAGACACAATGCACAGTACACGCTCAGTCATAGCTGGCCTACCCTGCTCTGCGGCTGAAGGCCTACCACCCTCTACACTCTGAGACCCTCTCTCTGCTCAGGTTCTTTAGCAGAAGCAAAGCCTAATGGAACTTCCTTAACTTTCTTGCCCATCAGAAGAATCACCTTGACAGCAGAGTATGTTGGTGACCTATCACTGTCCCCAAAGACTCAAACTTAGCCTCTGGGGAAAAGACTGCACAGCAAGGCTGTTCTGGCTAGTTCTGAGTGCAGCCACCACCAATATGGATGCCCTGACCCCGACTGAACTCTCTGGATTCTTCTAGACAGGCCTGAGTTGGCCCATAGTCCTTGCCATTCCTAAGACTGTACAAACAGTGGGAGCTAGGGGAAGGGCAGGGCCTCGGTCATCTTCCTGCTTTACCATGAAGTTCTTGTGTCTCAACGTGCCCTATACAGAGCGACCAGACAGAGCTGTGGGGAATAATCCTTCTTTCACCCCTTAGGACAAAATGTTGTTAGGCGATGGGTAGAAATTCATCATAGCCCTCGAGAGTTTGCTAAAGTGCCTGTCCCTAAGAGTGCCACACTTTTGGACAAAGCAGACAGTGGGTAGACAGGGTAAAATCTCTGCGGTCATGCAGGAATGCCTAGGCTGACTGGAGCTGAGAAGGGATGATGTCCAGACTGAATATGCATTTGTGACATACCGTTTACAGGTGAGACGTGAGTAAGGGAGGGGCAGCGTGGTCCGCCACTCCAGATGGAGCCAGAAACTGAGTCAGTCTTCTGGACTTCACACAGGGGGATTACTCCGTTTTTTATAAAGGTGGCAACAGGGACATGGGACCAGAAAACGGAGCCTTCTCTGGGGGACCCAGTGATGTCCTTAGGACATGAGTGGTCCAGTGGTGACAAGGTACAGGGAAGTGAGGAGCCACCATGTAACAGCCTCCCATCCTTACCGCCAGCAGGGCTGCGCACTGGGGATGGTCATCCCCCCCCATTTATAAACGGGTGGTGGCAGCAGGGCCCTCCATCAGTCCTGATGAGAAGTGTTCTCCCCAGGGGAAGAAACGAAGGCTCGGAGAGCCAAAGGAACCTATCTGAGTTTTCACTGCCTGTGAACCATGTATGATGCTGGTGCCTCCCCAGGAGCACGCATTTGTCATTGCTAGCTGACCCACGGTGGAGCACCTAGGAACAGCATTCCACCCTACCCCTGATATTCTCTGAGCATTGCCCAAGTTGTGAGCATTGCTCTGAAACCTGTGGCACTCAGGAGGTTTCCCCTTGCTGGACGAACGGATGTGCAGTTTGTCATTGCACCACACCCTCATCCATCCATTCACATTCATTCATTCATTCATCCATCCATCCTTTCTTTCTTTCTTTCACCTTCCCACCACACTTACATGATGGGAGACGCCATTATGTAAATATGTTTCTCTTATTGGTTAATGAATAAAGCACTGTTGGCCAATAGGAAAGCAAGATAGGCGGGACTAGGAGACAAGGAGGAAAGAGGAAGTAGTAAGGAGGGGTCAGGATGGAGAGATTGGAGAGAGCAGAACGCCAGCCCTTCTCTTCGGTAAGATGAGACCACGTGGAAATACTTAGATTAATAGAAATGGGTTAATACTTAAGACAGAGCTAGTTGATAAGAAACAAGATATTGGCCAACAGCATTATATCAAATACAGAGTCTCTGTGTGTTAATTGGGGCTGGCGTGGCGGTGGGACCAGACTGGTGGGAAAACCTTACTCCTAACACTTACGCACTAAGGCTCTACTCAATATCTGGAACCTGGAGGGACAAAGAATGGACTACTACAGGATTTTAATGCAACAGGGATCACCCTCGGTTCCAAAGGGCCCCAGAAGAGGAGAGACTAGCTGCATCCACTAGTCCAGCAAGGGGAACCCTCCTG